ACGACGTTAGTTTGTTTTTATGTTTGTAGCTTTCCTTTACTAGCCTGTGGCGTGGCTAGTGGATTAGCTAGACAGGCAGAATAGTGCTTTATGTCCCTCTCTGCCATTATGGTTTTTCAAAATGGCGGATCGCCATGGAAACCTCCGTGGACTTACCCGTCCTGTGTATATATACAGATAGGAAAATCTTTTGCTTATGAGAAGTCAGATCATTGTAGAGGTCAATTTACACCAAATGAAGAACATGATTTTAGCTAATAAAATACTACACAATGTTGCTTTAAGGAATATTATTTCAAAAAGAGGAAGACACCACTAAGCATACATGTAACATGCCATTAAAGTGATTTATACACTAAGAAAGCACCTCTTCAAATACTCACTGAGCAACTTAATGAAGCCTGACATTACTTTCATATAAAGACATCACTTTAAACATCTCCTATATCTCTCCAAAGCTCCGAAGCTGGTCTTTCTCCACCTTGTGAGAAGCAGAAATGGGTTTTCTAATTGTCTGTTTCTAAAGCCAGTGATCACTCACAGTGCATGAGGCCTTAAGATGTGTTCATAAACCAGACGTGACATCCATTACTGCTTATTCCCAGTGGGGTCAGAGGGGGGGGGACCCCAGATGACGGGGGGACACCCTGGACAGTTGGCAAACTCCACATGTTAAGTGGGATCCATCTTTTCCCCGTTAACCCTTTAAAGCCTGATCCAAGAAAAATAGGAAGAATATTGGATTTTTTTTAGTCTGAAGTCTTTCTTTGTCCCCTCAACAACATATGAAGAAGAAAAAACAGACATATATTGATCAAATTAGCGTGCAATAAGTCAAAAATATATTTTGGTGTAGTCTTCTACTGGCTGTTATCAGGTATATCTGAATGTGTACAACAGGGGTTTGAGCAAAGCTTTTTACCATTGAATAATGCAAAAAAACTAAGATCCAAAAGGCTTCAGAAACCGTATCAAATATGACACATTTGGCATTATAGGGTTAAGGCTGTTGGACTGGTAACCAATCCAGGGGGATAGGCCCGGCCCCCCCACACTCTGACCACTCTGAAGCAGGTGTGGAGGATGGATAAATGGATATTAATGGCTCTAAAAATTATCATTCGGTGGGTAGAAAATTGAGAAATGGTAGGTGGGTGCCGAGTGAGACTCCACTCTCAAACCACATGCATCAGTGGACACAACTAATCCTTCCTAAATGAAACTGAAAGGTACTTTGGGAGCAAACAGACCAGTGACCATCTCATCTTCTGGCCACAGTCCAGCTTCCAGGAGCTGAGCTCTTTCCCCCGAACAGCTATGATCATCTTGGATTATTGCCTCCTCTTTTACTGGAGCTGCTGTTTCTAAGTGTTGGCTATCTTATTCTGACCAGATCGGTCTCCAGAAATGGACGTTCTTTTCACAAAATCAATTTAGAAACTGTTTCGGAGCTCTGGAAGGAGTGATCTCAGCTGCTTGCTCTTCATCAAATGACACTTTCATAACTTCTCTAAATATAAACGACTGGTCAGAGTATAAAAGTCCTTCACTCTAGACTAAATTAATGAGATTACATAAATCCTTGGATAAGCGGACATCTTCCTCCTGCTGAGCCCCGATTTTGGCTGTGTGGATAAAAGCATCCGTTCTTTCTTTTGAGGTCTGGACAGAATCGAGCTCGTGGGGCAGATGGATAAGACGGAAAGTGCCCTAATATCCAAAGCCAGCTTCCAAAAGGAACCCTTAACTCATTGGCTGCCAAACACGTCTATAGACGTCAATTCAAATACAACCGTTGACTGCCAAAGAGGTCTATAGACGTCTTTTATGTTTTTCAACGAGAGTGGCTGGGGGACGATCTGCTAAAGCTTGTCCGTAAATATCAGGCTTCTAGACAGAGTATGTAGTAACAAATTGACCCTCTAGGGGGCAGTGCCACTTTTGATGGGAGATGAGCATAGACTGTAGGCAAATAAGAAAAACGTAATGTTTCGCTATGAGAGAACATGTCGCCGGTGAGACGCAAGTCCAGGAAGAACGGAATAAGGTAGAAACTATTTTTTTTCCTGATGAAAGA